CTTAAAGCAATATTTTATTTTCACTAACTTTGGAGAGTTCTGCTCTGTGTCTGATGTCTAGAAAAATAGTGATTAATGGCGTTTCCAAGTATACGAAGTAGAGTGAAAATAGTTGATTTTTTAATTTTTTCTATGTTTAATCCAATTGCAGAGGGACAGTTACGAATTTGCCCATAGACTCTGGTGCCAGACTGCTAGGATTTGAATCCTGGCAATAGCTTAATATCTGAGTGACTTTGGGCAAATTACTCAGCATGTTTTTGCCAAAGTTTCCTCATCTGTAAAAGGGATGACAATAACAGCACCAGCCTCTTAGAATTGTGAAGATTGAATAAGCAGAACAAATATGAGCCATCAGTAACAATACTTTATATGTTATATGTATATCACAATATGTACTTTATAAATGTTAGCTATTTATGTGTGCAGAATACAGAGAGGCATTGCAAATTTTGAAAAGTGAAAGCAGAGTTGGTCTATATGGAGACCTGCTCCAGATTCTTCTTTTACTACCATTTATCTTCCTCCTGGAGGGACAACAGCAGTGTAATAAAACCAGCAAATTATTGCTGTATCCATATCTCTCCCCTGGATCGAGGGTGAGCTGTAATGACAGGGTCACATGCTGAAAGTATGCCTGTTCCAAAGACAGCATGGTTCTATCTGACTTCTTTAACTAGATTGAGTCTTCACCCAAGTATTGCTATATTAGGTGAGAGCTGGGAAGGCACTGACATCTTAATGCATCATTAAGATAGCAGATTTTCTCCACATGTAAGGATAGAGTAAGGTCCCTTAAAAAAAAAAGTTTAGTCATAAAGCCATGTAGAAAATTACTAGTTAGCTAAATGAAGATAGTTTCCCATTTTCCTTAGTTTATCTAACAGGGATTAAGCATATTTTAACTACAGGTCATAAAATCTTTTGACTATTTCAATGTTTAATTCTTATAGTAAGTCTCCATTCTTAGTAAATTTGAGATCATAAATGGTGATTGGGAAACATGATCTTCCTATCCTGAGATTCCATGATAGAAGACTCTTCTTCCCAGCAAGACATCACTGAGACATTTTGAACAAGAATATGTATCTTACTTATACATATCTCCAGGGAAGGAAATTCTGCAGATCCTTTTGATGATGTGCTCCTTTCAAAAATATAACTCATTTGAGACATTCTATTCTATCTCACTTAAGTCTACTCCTCTGAAGGTTAATCTTATTCTTGCTTATTCACTCCTCAGTAAAGATGGAGAGCAGGTGATATCATCCTCTTCACATACCTGAGAACCATTATCACAAAATTCCTTTGCTGAAAAATCTCATTTTGTCAAGGCCTTCATTATAGGTTCTAATTTTAAGTCCTTTGATCATTTTTACTGCTCTCCACATCTCTTAAATCTCTGAACCTAAACAATTTGTGCTCACGTGGGTCTGACCAGTGTAGTATTATTCTGGATGTATTACCTCACATTCCTAATGCTTAACTATTTAGGCACTCCAATATCACATTTGCTTTTTTAAGAACGAAAGCATTTCAGTGGAGGTGATACATTATCTCTGAGCACTTATTTGTTTCACAGGTGAACTAAGGTCATTTAAAAACAAACACTCTTCCTTCACAAACACATACAAAAGAGTATACCTTGATTGTAATTTTTTTTCCATTCAAGCAAGTTTTTTTTAACAGTTGTTACAGAACTGCCCTGTGTTTCAGAGCTACTTGGGGCTAATTATGGTTTATCACATATTGAAGGAAAAAAAATGGATGCAAAAAGTATAAGAAGCATGAATTTTTAGCAATTAATCGAATTATATTTCTTTTAAATAGAATTGTGTCTGAAATGAAAAATCAGACTTTGGGTTGAATTATTTGATTTTACCAGTGGCATGTTTTTAATCTTTCCACTTTCAAAGTGGATTATAGGCATAGCATTTGTGTTTGAAGTCTGCATCTGTCATTTGTATTGTTAAATAAAATTGGGATAATTATATTATGAAACTGGAACCAAAACTGGCAAGGTAACTCATTGAAATTTAAGATTCCCTCGATTATTGTATTAGCTATCAGATTGTATCTTGAATTTATGATTAATCTGAACAGTACATGGCACAGATTGTTTTCTTTAACTCTTTGCATGGTGGGTTTATGATGTCGCTTTGTTGAATGACAGAATTTTACTTGCTTCTTTCACTTGTGTCTGTGTCTTTAAAGAGCTTTTACCACTTTCTAAAACATTAAAATCCAAGAAGATTTTCATTAATCCTTCTTTTCATAGTTACTCTCTTGCTTTGCTGATGAAATCTTTGTTTACTTTTCTTTGGGAGGTTTACATTATGGCCAACCATTTACAGCATGTTCATAATTTATTTATGACTCAAAATAAGACCAAAAATTAGTGAAACCTAACACTTGAAAGGCTCCATATGTTTGGATGTGCTCAGGTTATTATTTTTTGCCTATAACTAAGTTACAAATCACTGAGATGTAGCTTATGTGCAAGCACTGTATGAGGTTTCATGAATATTTAGTGCTTTGTTTCTATTTCTAAGTCTGTGAAGTTTCATAAATCAGCACTGTTTTTGCTTGGTTGCTACATAGCTGTGATTCTTTGTGCTGTCGCTTCTGTATTATAAAGGCTGAGTTTCATACAATTTGCCTATGGAAATAATTCCTGGTAGGTGAAAAACAAATTACATTGGTTCAGTGTTAAGGGTTATGGTTTAAGTATAATGGTAGCAAAAACACAAACTTCACCTTAAACCTTCAATTCCTGTATATTGTTTAGAGGTGAGTAAATAGCGAGATCTTAAGAAATTATTTCCAGGTTCATGATCTGGAATCCAAACTATTTCCAACTATTTTTTGTCTGAAAGCTCTATTGGCAATGTTTCCTTATACTTCAAAACTGTAAATATAGGCCCTAAGCTATTTTATTGAGGTGTTACATGTTCTAAACCAGTGACTCCCAATATGGCCAATCATCAGTATTACCTGGGTTGTTTTCTGAAAATACAGATTTCCAGACATTTTTGGACATTTTTTTTAACTTGGTAGTATTAAATCAGAGATTCTCAACCTTGGCTGTACATTAGAATCTTCTAGGGAGATTTAAAAAACACCCAAAACTTGATGCCTCAGTTCCAACCCCAGAGATCCTGATGTAATTTGTTCCAGGTCATCCCAACTTTAACCCAAACCCTCAGAGCTTTCTGGGTTAATGTTCATCAACTTTTGAGAACCACTGCTTTAAACAACACATTTCTTAATTAGAAGTATGGTATTCAGAGTTTCTTACAGTGACTTTGATTTGGTTTACAATTTTACAGTTTTGTTACCATCTTCAAATATTTCCCTTTTTCATTTATAAAGTTATACTGAAAACCCCTGGGAGAAGGAGAGGCTGATACCTCCAAGGAAGTTCTGGCATGGGGAGATGTTTACCTTAACAGGAGAAATATATGACTTCTTTGAGAAACACTAGAGAAGCTGGATTGTCTTCCTCCCACCAGATGGAGAGCCTACAGACAAGGAGATTAGGGAGGGTAAAGTTAATAAACTGATTTTGCTGTGCCCAGGACAACCAAGAGGACTGCTTCTGCTTGAGTTGATTCCTTGACCCTTGGTAATAGTAGCTAGCATTTACTGAGTATTTAGTACAAGCCAAATACTTAAGAATTCCTCACCATAGCCCCACCATAGCCCCACTGCCATTATAGGAAAGAAAATGGTAAGCACAGGAAGGTTAAGTAACTTACCCAGAGTCACACAGTTAGTATGTAGTAAAGACTGAATTTGACCCCAGGCAGCCTGACTCCAGTGCCCTTATGGCTGCCTGTGACGTCACCTTGACTGACTTGCTAGACAACAATATGGTATGATAGATAAGAATGAAGGATATTTAAGCATATTGAAATCCAATCTCATACAAGCAATGTTAACATGTACAACTTTGACTTCTCTTCAATGATGCTATCAGTAAAATGGGGTTAATAATAATACTTTCTTCACAGTTTTGTTATGAGGCTTTTAAATAAACAGTAGCTTAATGCTTGGATTATAGAAGCACTAAGGAAATAATGTCTGTTTTTTATAAGTCAACGCAGTTTACAAAGCCCCAAAACATAGAAATTTGGGGTTTGGATTCATTGCTGTTCTTCTTGGGGGTATGCTTGATTGTTCCGGTGAGTGTACATAGATTAGTTAAGGTTTATTCTAACCCTGAAACTCTCTAATTTTCACAAATTGTATTATTCACCCAGAGACCTTATCTCTACTTGGCAAAATTTTTCATTATGGTTAATCATTTAATTTGTTGAGTAAATCTTATTTTCTCATTGATTTACATAAGAAAAGCAAAGCTTCTTTCTTGTGAAATATACTACTTTAAGTACCAAGTAGAAGACTTTTCCTAAGGAATCAACATGGTAGCTCACTTAAAAGCCTCTCCCAACATGGTGCCACATAAAATTCCTGAAATGAGAGTCAGAATACTTGGGTTCTATTCTTTCCTGTCTTCCTTCGTTAAGTACTTGGCAATATCAGGCATGTTAATTTAACATCTTAAGTCTTTGGTTGTCTATGTGTAGATTTTGAAGCTGTGTTACATGATAGTGATGGCTTCTTCTTGCTCTGATATTATGTGAGTCTGGATAGTATAAAATAGCCACAAGGTTATATTTATCTACATAAACTGTGTATATAATGGGAACTGCAGTTCTCACCCACCAGTTCAACTTTTTAATTCCAACAATCTCTTCCTTATTCTGAGCTCATCTGTCAAAAATAAGAAATAGGATTCTATGATTTCTAACGTTTTTATGAATCTATTAATCTTTCCTCCATTATCAGCCATTTGCCAAAATGTAACAGCCATTATACCTAGAGATCTCTTCCGTGGTTACTCTCCAGTAGCTCCTGGAAAATTGCTTTATCTTCTATCATTTAGTATTTTATAGTGTTTCTCAAATATTGATTTCTGGATATACATTTGATTACATAAATAGTGGAAATCTTTCCCTAATTTATACACATAAAATTGAATTAAAGGATAGAAGACTTCTCCCATAAAATATTTTTAAGCTTCTGACACCAAGTACCATTTGTTTGTATTAGAACAAAATATGACAGAATATGCCATTTAATACAAAGTTATTTATGTAATAGTATAGTGATTCTCAAATTAACTGTGATGAAGGGACGGTTCTTTTTTTAGCATCCAATCTATTGCAGACCACTCCTTTTGTAAAGTACAATACAAATTTGAATTACTAGCAAAAGGATTTTTTTAAGAAATAAAAATACAAATCCAATTTTTAAAATTATTTGTTGCCACAGACATAAAATTTTTCTGTCAAGCTGCTCTAATATTAGTTCTCTCACATTTTATTCTCAATGCCTATACTTGTCAGAAACCAAAAGCAAAGAGTGCATAGAGCTGTACTGATCTGCAGATAAGACATTGAGTTGCACTGGTCTTGAAAAGCAAATTTGACTTTATCTCTTTTGTAAGTTTGAAGTTCCTTAGCAAAAATAAGGGAGTTTCCTTATTGCCCTCTCTCAACTTTTAAGACTTCTTCAAAAGGCTAGACCTGGTCAGCTTCAGACAGCATCTACAGTGACTGGATTCTTCAGGTTCTTTGCTTGGTTAAAACGTAAGTAGACAGTATGAAGCCTCACCTGTGCTTAACCTTACTGGGAGCAAGTTGTTCAGATCCTTTCTTGATAATGGCTTTTCATGAAAAGGAGAAAAGGCAAGCCTGGGGGGAACTGAGTGACTGAGGTGTGAGGAGAATCCTGCAGGGGGGATACTACCCAAACAGGCCATGTCTGTCTGGGCCCCATACCTGTTAATAGATCACCAGAGATGTATTCATGATTTTAACATCAGAATCATTGTCCAAGTGGAAAACAATCCAAAACATTAATGATAAAGGAAATACATGTAAGATGATTGTGTTGTGAAAATATTTGAGGCTTTTAAGGTGTTGTTCCCTTTTGCTTTATTGTAAGAAAGACTACAGAAATTACTATTGCTCAAAATAGTAATTCTACTGGAAACTTCAAATAGCAAATTAGAATTATATATATATGTATATACATACATTTTGAAAGATAGTTGCTAGGCGAGTAGATTTTCCAGTCCCCAATGAAAGATTCATTTCACAATCAGCTTAAGCCTGTATTTTTGAAACTTGAAACTCTACTCATCTGGCAGAGAAAAGGATCATAACCACTGAGCGGAAATACAAAGATCTTTCAGAGCATCCAGATTTTACTTCTAAATCTTAATCTTCAAAGACTTTTCCCTAATCACTTTTACAGAATCTTATTTATCTGCCATGGAATTCTCTGTGTTATTTCACAACCAAGTTAACTATTACAATGCTTTATAAGGACTCCATGAGAGAGATTTCTCTCAGACAATGTATCAAAAATACTGTGCTTCCCCCGAGTTACTCATTTGTTTTTATCCTTTTTCTTAGCTCTGTCACTTATCAGATTTAAGATTTTGATAATATATTTAACCTTTATGGTCCTCACTTTCTCTCATTTCAAAGGTGGTGATAAAAATTTTACCCACCTTATAGAGCTGTTCTGTAGATTAAATGAATATATTACTTTAATATAACAGAGCTTGGAACCTAAGTACTTAACAAGTATTAGTTATTATTATTGCTGTTGCTATTTTTTTCATGGAATTATAGATGGTTATAACTATCAATGTTTTCTTTTTTGCTTTTTCTCCTAGGAACGTTAAGGATCAAAGCTGTTTCTTCTAGAAGCTGTTCACTATTCTTTTATTCCCCTATTCTCAATTATGTATCAATTTAATCTTTATCTTGCTATTTTGCATGCATATCCACAGGTTACCACAAATCCTTTATAGAATAAAGTGGAATATCTATCAGTCTTTTAAAAATTGGATTATGAATTCACCTATGGACAAGAATAATCTCAAGAACATTTAAAAATTTGGATTGGCTTAAATCTGGTTTCTTAAACCGATCACTTTTAAGGGCAATGGAATTACTACCTTTGACTTGGAAAATCATTACAGCCTAGTGACTGGAGCCAATCTACAAAGTTACCTTGCTATTACACCAAGGAGGAGTGCTGGGATGGATAATGGGGAGTCAACCTCAATATGAATTACAGTAGAGTAGCCAAAGTAGGAAAGTACCTTACCATCTTTATACCCCCAGTGCCTAGTACATTTTCTCATGTATTACAAGCTCAACATATGGTTGATGAATGAACAGATCATCTTTGCTAGGTGCCATATTTTTCTCTGGCAACTTGAACAAAGGAACCTCAGTTGTAATTATCTAATTCCCTTAAATGAAACAAGACCTTTTCCATCTAGCAAAACTCTAGGAAGCTTTTTGTGATTTCTTCCCTGCCTAATTCACTTCGTATAATTCCTCCATGCTTGCTCTTGTATTCTAACATTATCAAATTACCTATCAAGGGAAGGTCTCTGAAACCAGAATGCTTTTTCACTCATTTGTCCTTGAACATGCTGATCCCCCTAGCTAGTAAGGTACTTATCCTTTAAATCTGGACCTAGGTCTCTGCCTCTTCGTGAGATTTCTTTGCTGACTACATTAGGTAGAACCAGACATGCTAACATTTATGACCCCTCCATGCCTGGTTTATATCCTCACTGTAACTCTATACTTTGTATTTTCTTAACTTAATGCTCACATAACCTGTGATGGAGAAAAAGCACAGGTTTTGCAATCAGGCAAAACAGGTTGGGTCCTTATAAGCTGTGTAACTAAGCCTTGTTACTTAATCTTGCTGAGATCCAGGTTACTTGTTTTGAAATGAGGATAGTAAAGTCTATCTATCTCATAAGATGTGAAGATTAAATTAAATATATGTAAAGGTCAAGAACATAATTGATGATCACTCAATAAATAATAGAGTAGGCACTCAATAACAAAAATGTATATGGCATTACTGGGGGATTCTTGAAAAAGTGAAGATCATGTACCAGATTTATGATGATAGGTTAAAAATCAATTCGAATTTTGATTTAAGGAATTCAATCTTTTTAGAATTAAATTTATTTTAGGGTTATAAATATGAAAAGGGGAGAACCATGTTTTTAACTGCCTCCTAAAAAGCACCTAGTATAACATCATGTGTTAATAGACACTCACTAATTATTTTGATGAATGACCAACAAGTAAATTTGCTTCCTTTCTTCACATCTCCTTAAAGTTCTATCACAGACTCAAATTTAAGAATGATTAGCATGGTATTAGAGCAGCAGTGCTCCAAAACCTCACCATAAGCACTGGTTTCCAGATGAGGCTATTCTTGAAAGACTTAATTTAAGCTTTTCCACTTAGCATTTAATGTGACTTATTTTGTACAATGACAAAGCTGCAGGTGTTAACAAAATCTAAGAGTTTAAAAATGTGCTTGTGGTATATTTAAAGTGACCAAAATAACTTTTTTTAAGATTCAAAAATAAACTGTTGACATAAATCACAGAAATACCACTGCTTAA